CCCCCCCCCAAGCACCAAGAAGACAGAGCATCACTTGCCCCAGACTGAGAGTTCCTACCTATACCTTGTGGCCAAGAGCCACTGATGGACCTCTGCTCCATATGCTTATCCAGTTCCCTGTTGAAGCTGTCCGTGCTTGTAGCCGCCGCCACCTCCTGTGGCAGTGAATTCCATGTGTTAATCACTCTTTGGGTGAAGAAGGACTTCCTTTTATCCATTCTAACCCAACTGCTCAGCAATTTCATGGAGTGCCACAAGGAGTTCTTGTATTGTGAGGAAGGGAGAAAAGTCCTTCTTTCTCAACCTCTTCTATCCATGCATAATCTTATAAACCTCGATGATGTCACCCCTCAGCCGTCGTTTCAGCTAAAGAGCCCCAAGCGCTTTAACCTGTCTCCATATCTGTGGGAAAAGACATCTTGGGAGAGGGTGCGATGTCTGTGTGGAGGGAGCACAGGCTCTTTACCGAGTCTGCTGTTTCAGTGGCTTCACTCTGTGCTTAGTAGACTGATACTCAGAGGGCTCTCTCTTTTTTAAATGCCGTGCTTCCAGAGCAGCCCGAGCCCAGCAGATGGGGTGGTTTAAAAACGAGATCGTTCCCGTAACGACCACCATCACGAACGACCAGGGCAAGGAGCAGACGGTCACGGTACTCCAGGACGAAGGGATCCGGCCGGGCACCACGCTGGAAGGGCTGGCGAAGCTGAAGCCGGCCTTCAAAGAGGATGGTACCACCACCGCTGGTGAGAACGGGCAGGGGGTGAAGCCCCAGGGGGGCACCTGGCTAAAGAGAGGGCGCTTTTTGCACTCCCTCTCAGTTCCGTTTCTCGTGTTCTGCAGACTGGTGACACGGATGCCAGTTTGGGGTGGCGGGAAGTCGGTGGGCAGAGAAGGCAATATATCCTACGGGGGACGTCGGGATAAAGTTTTAACAATTTTAAAATTTAATAAAACAAATAAATAAAAAAATGAGGAAGCACTTGATGGACGGGCCGCTCCCGGCAACCTCTGCGGCTGTCGTCATTCGTTAAGCACGAATTGGATACAGGCGACCTCACGGCTGCAGGCAGCCCCACTCTGGCAAGCTGTCAACAGTTCCTGCTAGAATCTTAAGTCAGAGATGGAAGCATCGTGTGCCACCTCCCAGTGCGGATCACGCAGATGGTTGGCCTGCCAAGGTCTGTGAATGGATTTTGGTCGTATTGCACGTCTGCCCGGCTGGACAGCAGCCGAACCAAGCCGTTTTCTTTGTGTTGCCCGTTTCCCCCTTGTTTGTCGGCCGGCCGGCCCAATAGACTATTGTGCGAAACCTTTTTTCCCACAGGTAATTCCAGCCAGGTGAGTGACGGTGCCGCTGCTGTTCTCCTGGCCAGACGCTCCCGAGCGTCCCAGATGGGCCTTCCTGTCCTGGGCGTGCTGAGGTCTTACGCCGTGGTTGGAGTCCCACCCGACATCATGGGCATCGGGCCAGCCTATGCCATTCCGGTTGCCCTGGAAAAGGCTGGTAAGAACGGGCTTAAGTGTGATGGGAAGGCACATCTGTAGTCTTATATTTGATACCAGGGCGGGCACAGCGGCTCCGAGTTCTTAAGAACATAAGATAAGCCAATGTTGGATCAGGCCAATGGCCCATCCAGTCCAGCACTCTGTCACACAGTGGCCAAAAGTACCAGGGGCCATCAGGAGGTCCACCAGTGGGGCCAGGACACCAGAAGCCCTCCCACTGTTGTCCCCCCCCCCAAGCGCCAAGAACACAGAACTTCACTTGCTCCAGCCTGAGAGTTCCTATCTATACCTTGTGGCTAATAGCCACTGATGGACCTCTGCTCCAGATGTTTATCCAGTTCCCTCTTGAAGCCGTCCATGCTTGTAGCCACCGCCACCGTAGTTCCTATCTATACCTTGTGGCCAAGAGCCACTGATGGACCTCTGCTCCATATGCTTATCCAATTCCCTGTTGAAGCTGTCCGTGCTTGTAGCCACCGCCACCTCCTGTGGCAGTGAATTCCAGGTGTTCATCACCCTTTGGGTGAAGAAGGACTTCCTTTTATCCGTTTTAACCCGACTGCTCAGCAATTTCATGGAGTGCCCACAAGAAGTTCTTGTCTTGTGAGAAAGGGAGAAAAGGACTTCTTTCTCTACCTGGTCTATCCTGTGCACAATCTTATAAACCTCGATCGTGTCACCTTCTTGGCTGACATCTTAATCTAGGCAGAAGATCTCGCATCCTGCTTCTCTTCTGGCTGCCGCGCTGGCACCCTCTCTTCTTCCCTTTTTGGCTGTTGTGATCAATGTTTCCTCTAAGCTGTGGAGTCCTGTGAGCAAAAACTCTACTTTGTGAGCTGCTGCCATTGAAGTTGTGAGTGAGAGATTTGGCTGCTGCATAAACTAGTTTGTTCTGGGGCCATCCTCCCTGAGCGAAGGCAAAAATGTGTGAGCTGGAGGCTAAAAAACTGTGAGCTAGCTCACACTAACTCAGCTTAGAGGGAACACTGGTTGTGATACCAGGGAGGGAACGTGATAGATGTCTCTTCACTCCTTCCTTGGCGCCTGTAACACTGTATTTGTGCCATGGTTGCTGGGACGTAGTGGTACTTTCCAGGGCATCAGCCGTGTGTCCCTGCAGCCTTACCACTTACTCTGAAGCCAAGTATCGCAGCTGTCCCAAGTATGAGAGAGGAAGGTGCCCTCGGGTCGCAGTTTACTTGCGCAGGCCCGGAGAGGTTCCAAGGGAAGAGATGGTTCAGAGAGAGGTGGCTTGCCATGGCTTGCCATTGGTGGCCTCTGTGGTTAGCGTAGGTCTCTGGGGATCCGCAGGTGTGCTGGGCTCCCCAAAGGCAGATCCACCCAAGCAACAATTGGCAGATCCCCCCAAGCAACAATTTGGTCTTGAGTGTGCGGATGAGCCGTGAGTCGCTTGGTGTGAGCTCAGGTGCCACAGCTCGCTGGCGGGCGCACCACCAACCCATGTGTGCGCGTGTGGTGTGAACAGATATGTGTAGCTGGTTCCCTGCCAGGTCGTTTAGCCATGGGCAAATGAGAAGCAAACCTGATTTAGGGTTCCCGGAACTAGTTGTGTGACAGAAGGATCCTGGCTTTCCGTCTCGAGCCAGAAAAGGCTTCCTGCTGCAGATGGGCATTAGGAGGTTTTGCTGCGCTGATGATTTATCCCAACCGTTAACACAGCCATTTCTCGTGGTTAGGGTGATTAGCCAAGAGAGACACTGTGTGAGAGATTTGTGTGCACCAGTTATACAAAGACTGTAATCAAGATTTAATGCACAGCACGCAATGAATTTAGTTCAGGTGTTGGATGTATTATGATTTGTATTGTAAGCTTGTTGGAAGAGCTCAACCTCTCTCCCTCATGTTCAGGTCTGACTGTGAAGGATATCGACATCTTTGAAATCAACGAAGCCTTTGCCAGTCAGGTGAGAGGCACCTGCCCTGTTTGTGTTCTTCGTTCTCTGCCAAGGGTGCACGGTTTCTCTTTCGAATTGTCCCAGCAGAGGAACTCAGTGGGTTGAATCTCCCACTGGACACGCATGTTCCACAAAGGGCCTGTCCTCCATAGCTTCCTTTTGAAACGTTGTGAGCAGAAGGATTGAAACACTCCATGAAACTGCAGAGCGCACTCCAGTGGGCACTCCATGAAACTGCAGAGCGGTCGGGTTAGAACGGATAAAAGGAAGTACTTCTTCACCCAAAGAGTGATTAACACATGGAATTCACTGCCACAGGAAGTGGTGGGTGCTACAAGCATGGACGGCTTCAAAAGGGATCTTTGTGGCGGGGGTTACAGTGAACTGGATTACGGCTATGGCCATTCCATGGTTGGACCACCATGTTCTGAAGGCCCGCGTGAATGTGCCATCCCGACCCTGTTTGGGCAGTGAACATATTTTAGTTCGCCCACAGAGCCAAAAGGACCCGGTGCGTTCCGAATGGCCCTGTGGGATCCGATGACCCCTGGCAGCTCATTGGATGAGCTTGTCGAGGACTGGCAAAACTCTCGGCAGCCGTTGACGAGATCGCTCCCCAGCATCTTCTGCGTCCCCGCTCAAAACTCGCTCCATGGTCTACGCAGGAGCTGAGGTTGATGAAGCAGGAGCTTAGACGACTAGAGAGACAGTGGCGACATGCTCGGGACGAAGCGTCAAGAGCATCTTATGGGACGTTTATGAGATCCTATGAGATGGCAGTTAAGGCCGCGAAAAAAGAATACTATGCGGCAGGGCTCTTTTTGTAGAAAAAGCCCAGCAGGAACTCATTATCATGATAGGTCACACCCAGAATCAGGAACCCATTAGCATATTAGGCCACACCCCTGACTGCACCACTCATTAGCATATTAAGCCGCACCCCCATGTTACCAGAAGTGTGGTCATCCAGCCACACCCACCTTTTGCTTCTTACTCTGTGTACCTTGTTTGTTGTCAAAACCCAGGGCTTTTTTGTAGCAGGAACTCCTTTGCATGTTAGGCCACACACCCCTAATTGTAGCCAATCCGAATGAGTTTCTGCTGTTGCGTGTGGCCTATTATGCTAATGAGTTCCTGCTGGGCGTGGCCAACTTGGGAGTCGGCCGGAACTCCGTTCCTGTGCGTTCCTGCCCCAAAATAGCCCTGCTACGCGGCTACGATGGCATCTATGTGCTCTTGCCTGGCCCAATTATTTAGAACAATTCGGTCTCTGACTACTCTGCCGCAGGGCAGACCAAACGATACAGAATTGGAAACCGGCTGCGAGGCTTTTACGAGCGATTTCGCAGATAAAGTCTTATCGCTCTGCCACGACCTTCCCGCCACGGTTGAGACAGTGACGGAACTCGAGGCTCCATGCGCGTCTTCTGGTCAAGTTCTGGATTATTTCGGTCCACGCAGCCTAGAAAAGGTCGACAGATTACCCTCATGGGTTCGCCCAACCACCTGTGGCCTTGATCCGTGCCCATCATGGCTGATTAAGGCTGGCCGTGGTGGGTTGCGAGGGGCACTAAGGGAGATCGTCAACAAGTCCCCTTTAGAGGGGCTGTTCCCTAGTGCTCTAAAGGAGGCAGTGGTCCACCCACCCACCCCTTTAAAAAAGCCAACATCTGATCCAGCTGAATTGGCTAATCACCGACCGGTATCCAACTTGCCCTATTTGGACAAGTGAATTGAGAAGGCAGTAGCGAACCAGCTGCAGGGTTTTTTGGATGACGCCTCCATATTAGACCCCTTCGAGTCCGGCTTCCGACCTGGCCATGGGACAGAGATCCTAGAGGTTTTTTGTCACCTTCTGGGCGTGGGACAGCAGTCACTGGGTTTGTGTGTGGGGGGGAGGGAGGTATTAGTGAATTCCCTGCATTGTGCAGGGGGTTGGACTAGATGACCCTGGAGGTCCCTTCCAACTCTTATGATTCTATCTGGAAGCTCTATAAAACTGCTGTACTACTTAGGATTTAAATTGTGAAACACTAACACTGCCTGGAGTCGTCAGAAGGTCCGCGTTCAAGTTGTTTGGGGCACTGGCCAAGGAAGGCGTGCCTGACACAGTGCTCTCAATTTGTGGTGTCCCCCCGCAGGCCGTGTACTGCGTGGAGAAGCTGGGCATCCCCCCGGAGAAGGTCAACCCCCTCGGTGGCGCCATCGCCTTGGGGCACCCCCTGGGCTGCACCGGAGCTCGACAGGTCGTCACTCTGCTGAACGAGCTGAAGCGGAGGGGGAAGAGGTGAGCGTTGGATGGTCCGCATCGTTAAGACAGAAGTGTGTGCGAGAGAGAGAGAAACTAGAAAGTGCTTGATTGTTTGCCTGCACTTGCGTAGAAGGCTCTGGGAGTGCTGAGCAGATTGGGAAATTGCTTTTTGGTTTCTCTGCTGCAGAAACCGGGGGGGGGGGGGGGTTGAGTATCCCAAAACTTGATTTCTTGCCAGTGCAGATGGGAGCTTCGGAGGAAGCAGAGAAACATCTTTGTTAGCTCTAGGTTTCCCCCATCCTCCTTTTGTTCGAGCTACCATCCCCCGTAAGCATCCGTTTAAACGGCAAAGGAAAAAAAACAATCCCAGAATGGAAGTTTTCATGTACCTCCTTTCCCGTTGCAGAGGCTACGGAGTGGTCTCCATGTGCATCGGGACCGGCATGGGAGCGGCGGCGGTGTTTGAGTACCCGGGCAACTGACGTGCAGCGGCCTAACTCCTGGAGTGGCCTGCAGCCACCCGCCAGTGGTCCCGGTGCCCCGGCTTCAGGAACCCATCCAATGAAAAGATGCTAAAAAGTACAGCCTGTGGGCGGAGCGCATCCCACCCCACCCCCTTCTTGCACTGTCTTTCTGCTCTTGGTGATTCATGGCCCTGCCAGGCAGAGGCCCGGCCTCTGTCCAGCATGGCGACCAATCAGCTTGTGTCCTTGGTTCCCCGGAAGAATCTCGTCCTGCGGGCTGTAACGTGTTAGGTGCCCTGTTTACGGTTGGTGATGGGCATACTGTGTCGGGCGTAGTGGTTAAAGTGTCGGATGAGGGTCTGGGAAACGCAGGTTTGAATCCCTACTCTGTCGTGGGAGCCCACTGGGTGACCTTGGGCCAGTCACACGCCCTCAGCCTAACCTACCTCACAGGATTGTTGTGAGGAGGAAACGGAGGCGAGGAGAGCAACGTAAGCGGCTTTGGGTCCCCTTTGGAAAGAAAGGCAGGACATAAATAAATAAATAAATTTTCTAATGGGAACTGATCTTCGGCACCGGCACCCGACAGTGCTCCCTCTAAGCTGTGGAGTCCTGTGAGCAAAAATCCCACTTTCTAAGGGACTGGCATTAAAGTTGTGAGCGAGCGATTTGGCTGCTACATGAATCAGTTTGCTCTGGAGCCCTCCTTCCCGAGCAAGGACAAAAACGTATGAGCCGGAGGCTAAAACACTGAGCTAGCTCACACTAACCCAGCTTAGAGGGAACACTGGTGCCTGACTTTGAGGGATATGGTGGCCTGGAGGGCTGTTCGGGGTTCCACAGTCTGATCTGTCCAAGAAGCTACCTTAACGCTCAGGCCCCTTTTGCAGAGAAATCCCTTTCCGGAGCGACTTACGAAGTAACAGGTACGGAGAGCTACAGAACTGCTGAGGAGGGGAGGGTTGAGGGTTTGCTTTGGGAAGCAGCGTTTAAAGCGACTTCTGGGTGGAAGAAGCGAGTCAACACATCAGAGTGGGAAAAGGAGATCCTACTGTAGGCGCAGTTACTGGCAAGTTACTGGCAAGACGCGGGTGAGTCCCGACTCTGAACTGATTTAACAAGTTTTTTCAATCTGCTAACTTTGTACCTCTGGACTAATTAATTAAATTTAAATCAGTGCAACTCCTGTCCGTTTGCCTTTTTACTTTGAAGTTTACGGAACCTTGAGTACTAGGCGTTTGTAGAGAAGTTACTACTCTGCATTGGGCCACCTTTAGTAACATTTAATGTCCTGTCGCAAGAAGAGGCTGGCAACCAATCAAGCCTAACAACGAAGCCAGCGTTCCCTTGCTGTGGCTCTGTCCCTCTGGTTTTTTCGTTGTGAAAAAATTCTCAGTAGGTTAAACTATGATGCCCTGGTTAGGGAAGAAAAGCTCCAGTGAGTTCACGTATTCTCAGAAGCCAGGTACCGTCCTTTGCCTTGGTGTGCTGAGGTGATCGAGCAGATGTGCCGAACCGGCCCTCCTTCTTGATGGGACTTGACATTAAAACAGGCAGACTGTTTTGTGAGGGGAACCTGCTTCTGCACGCTCTGACACTTGACCAAGTCCTTGGAAGTGATTCTCCCAGCAGGCGAGTCTACCTCGAGAACGGTTTTAATCTTTGCGTTCTGTTGCACAAAACCGAAACCCAAGCGAGTTTGCTGGCGCTCGCTGCTCTCCGTCGGCCTTTAGGATTTGTGCCTTTCTTCGTACCTCTCGTCGTGAGAGCCCCGGCCTTGGACGCGCAGCTTGCAGGGCCTCTCCCCCAGCATCCCCACCACCGTCACCGTTGTTTCATAGTCTGCGTCGTCCCTGTTAAACGAAACAACGTTCTGCTCAGCTGAGAGGGCGACGGTAGGTATTTTATTGGTTCAGATCAGCAGGCCTCAACTTTTGCAACTTGCAGAGAGCCCCATTCACAACTGCAGACAACTCAAAGAACTGAGTGAGGACATCAGAAGAGCCCTGCTGGATCAGACCAGGGGTCCATCTACTCCCCAGCCTCCTGTCTCACACGGTGGCCAACCAGCTCCTCTGGAGGGTCAACAACAGGGCATAGAGGCCAAGGCCTTCCTCTGATACAAACATCAGAAGAGCCCTGCTGGACCAGACCAGTGGTCCATCCAGTCCAGCATCCTATCTTACACAGTGGCCAACCAGTTCCTCTGGAGGGCCAACAACAGGGCAGAGAGGCCGAGGCCTTCCCCTGTAGTTGCCTCATGGCTCGGATTCAGAGGCTTAGTGCCTCTGAATGTGGAGGTTCCCCTCAGTCACCATGGCTAATAGCCACTAATAGACTTATCCTCCATGAATCTATCAAATCCCTTCAGACACCCTGTGAGGTAGGTGGGGCTGAGAGAGCTCTGACAGAAACTGCTCTTTTCCCAAGAACAGCTGTGCCAGAACTACGGCTTGCCCAGGGTCATCCAGCCAGGTGCAAGTGGAGGAGTGGGGAATCAAACCCGGTTCTCCCAGATTAGAATCCGTGCACTTAACCACTGCACCAAACCACTACATCCTCTGGCAGCGAATTCACCATTTTAATCACTCTCTGTGCTAAGTAGTCCTGAACCTACTGCCCATCAGCTTCACTGGATGCCCTCGGGTTCTAGCATTTTGGGAGAAGGAGAAGACTTTCCCTTTGTCCCCTCTCTCCACCCCATCCATAATTGTATAAACCTCTGTCATGTCCCCCACTTACTCGTCTCTTTTCTAAACTGAAAAGTTCCCAGAGTCTTCAGCGTTTCCTCCTAGGGAAAGTGCATCCCTTACTACCATCCCTGCGTGGCTCACAGCTTACCTGTTCTACCAACGGCTGTTTCAACCCCCCCCCCCCCAAGAGCTTTGTCCACTTTCCCTAGGCAGGGGCTACATTGCTCAGAAGAGCCAGAAGAAGAGATTGGATTTATACCCCACCCTTCACTTTGGGAGTCTCAGAGCGGCTGACAATCTCCTTCCCCTTCCCCTCCCCACAACAGACACCCCATGAAGTCGGTGGGGCTGAGAGAGCTCTTTCGAGGACTGCCCTTGAGAGAGCAGCTCTGAGAGAACTTGTGACTGACCCAAGGTCACGCCAGCAGCTGCATGTGGAGGAGTGGGGAATCAAACCCAGTTCTCCCAGATTAGAGTCCAGACACTTAACCACTACACCAAATTGAAGAGATTGGATATATACCCCGCCCTTCACTACCCAAGGGTGTCTCAGAGCGGCTTACAATCTCCTTGCCCTTCCCCTCCCCACAACAGACACCCTGTGAGGTCGGTGGAGCTGAGAGAACTCTCTTGAGGACTGCCCTTGAGAGAGCAGCTCTGAGCGAACTTGTGACTGACCCAAGGTCACCCAGCTGGCTGCAGTGTAGAGGAGTGGGGAATCAAACCCGGTTCTCCCAGATTAGAGTCCTCACTCTTAACCACGACACCCAAGTGGCTACCAAGCCTTTGACTAGCACTGTCTTGGGTTACTTTAGATCAGGGGTCCCCAGACTTTCTGAGCCTGTGGGCACCTTTGGAATTCTAGCATAGGGTGGTGGGAGTGGCCGCAAAATGGCTACCATGGGATGTGGAGCCACACTACAAGATGTTAGGAAGTGAGCGTGTGTGTAACTCTAATAGTAGCCCTTTAGCATTTCAGGCAGAAGCTGTGCTTAACAAGGTGCCTTCCCTGTATAAATCGATGGTGCTACCTCATTTAGAGTAGCATTGGGGAAAGTGCAGAAAAGGGCAACTGGAATGATCAAAGGGTTGGAACACTTTCCCTATGAAGACTAACAGTGTGGGGAAGGCCCCCTTCATTTTGGGCCTCACCTGTGAATGCGCTGACATCTACCTCGCAAACACAAGCTGGACACGACTCTTCACTGCCTACCTGGCTGTAAAACGGACCACCAGGTGTGTCTTGGTGGCAAAGCCGCCGTGGTGGGCTTCCAGAATGCCGTTACTCGGGGAGATGGAAAACACCTCTGGGTCACTGTGTCGTTCGGCTTCATCTGTAACGGGAAATTTAAAAACTGGCCGTTGGAGTGAAAATCTACCCGTTTTCTGTTGGTAGATTCAGGTGGGTCTGAAGCAATCGAACAAAGTTTGAGTCCAGTGGCACCTTTAGGACCACAGGGCTTGGTCTCCAGGCCCCTGATCATCCTCGTCACTCTTCTCTGCAACCTCTCCATTTCAGTGTTTCCTCTAAGATGAGTTAGTGTGAGCTAGCTCACAGTTTTTTAGCCTCCGGCTCACACCTTTTTGTCTTAGCTCAGGAAGGGTGGCTCCAGAGCTGACTAATTTATGCAGCGGCCAAATCGCTCGCTCACAACTTTAATGCCAGTAGCTCACAAAGTAGGATTTTTGCTCACGGGATTCCGCAGCTTAGAGGGAGCATTGTTCCATTCTATCCCCATCCTTTTTGAAGTGAAGCCTCTATTACTACACACGGCACTCCAGGTTGGATCCAGTGATCCATTGGCAGGTCCTTCTCGCCAGGGGTCACTTCATAGAAAAAGAGGTGCAGGAGCTCATTAGCATAACTTATTTGCATATGCCACACCCCCTGACATCACCGGAAGTGTGTCAGAAGGCAACACCCACCGCTCAGGCTCCACTGGACTGTTTTGGATTGCTAGCTATTGGGGGGG